CCCTCACCCTTGTTCATTATAGAGTGGTATAGTGTGACGTCATCGAAAAAATCTATTTTTAGAATTTAGTTATGAAACAGAGCAAAATAACACTGAGTTCCTATAGGAATATAGTTATTCAGATAGTCATATATCAGACAATACTAAAAACATATTTAATTGTTTTTTTTTCGACATTTGGACATTATTTTTGATGGTCTTTCGGAAAAAGAAGAATTTTTTTGAAAAGATTGTTATAATGTCACAGCTCCGGTACTTTATTACCATCGTGTCTATCAATATTGCCGCCATGAACTGTACAACATTTGCAACAAACATAAAATACGACGTTATCATCATCACATTACTGTCATCATCATCATCATCATCACCATCGTTATCATCATCATCATCATCATCATCATCATCGTCGTCATCACTATTACTATTGTTGCACTGTCATCATCATTGTCGTCGACTTCGTCATCATTATCATAATCATCGTTAATATCATAATTATCATCATTGTCATTATCATAAGAATTATCATCGTCGTCGTCGTCATTATCGCACTCACCACCAGCCATGTGGTTGATGACCGCGTCGACGTAGATGCGAACATCGACAGCCAAACACCGTGCTACCATATCAGCGAACTCCTCCGCTGTTCCGCTCCTGCTGTTGAGCTGGTAGCTGAGTGGCTGGTAGCGCTCCCACCAGGGGTACGGGTAGGGAGGGTTATAGGGGTTGGTCGAGAATATCAGGTGCTCGCTCGGTGGAGAAACCTGCACACCGGCGAACTTGTGGGGTCCGATGAATCTAGAGAGAGTGGGGGTGGAGAGAGATAAAGAAAGGGAGAGAGAGAGAGAGAAAGAGAGAGACGGGGAGAGAGAAAAAGATAGAAATATAAGGAAAACAAGATACAAATACAGATATATCGAAAAAGATAGAAAAAACAAGAGAGAGAGAGAGAGAGAGAGAGCAGGCAAGAAAAAGAGAAAGATACACAGATATTGTGTGGGGTTTGCGCGTGGGTGTGTGTGTGTGTGAGAGAGAGAGAGAGAGAGAGAGGGGAGAGAGAGAGGGGGGGAGAGAGAGAGAGAAAGAGAGATATAGAAAGAGAGGTAAAAAGATAAATGCTAGAGATAATTGGGTCAAAGCAATTTTCCGCTGCGGCTGCTATAAGGATGAAAACTTTCTCCTAAATATCACGCACCTGAAGTTGAAAGCATAATATGCTTAATTTATAGCGTGGTGGTGCAACAATCATTTCCTTTTGTTACATCGTAGTGTGCAATGAAAACCTAAAATTGCGCTTTGTAAGGTAAAAAGTATTTCCTTTCAACGATACACACATATATATATATATATATATAATTTTGATATTGCACTTTGGAGGTTGATCAACTATTTGTTTTCTACAGTGAAACAATTCACTGCACTATATCATAAAGGAAATATATGTAGTTATGTAAAAAGAGAAGGATTATTAGTAAACCTTTCACATTCTTCGGCGATATCAGTCCATTTCCATTCGAATAGATGCACGATCACGGTTCGATCATCAGCAAAGTTTGGTTCGGTACTCGAGCCATACACGACGGAGATCACCAAAGACAACACCACAATACGAAACATTGTCCCTAATGAACAAAAGGTTTAAAGACAAATATCATCACGAATCTAAAAGGCTTTCAAACAAAACAGCTATTTATAAATGTAATGCTTCCTGGGAGAAATTTACTGGGTGTAAGCCACAAATATATTTAAATAAAACAGCTATTACAATAAATTATAATAGCCTTTTGCTTAGAATACTGAATGTGTTGTTACGACATAGTGTTTATTTAATCACTGTAATTCCTTCACTTTACAACACAACGGTAGCAATATTATTGACATACATAATACAAGTACCTGTGACATTGAAGGTCGTAAGTGTTTTAATGAAAATCTCCCCTTCACAAGCCAGTATTCTACTCATGCGCATAAATAACATACTGTATATGAAATTGTATAAGGTTCGTAACAAAGTGAACGTGACAAATACATATTACGTAATCAGAACATGATGTCTATTGGTATATACATTTCCATTTAGCTGATTTCTTGAAAGGCTCTGCGACCGTGTATTTTGCAGATAGTTAATGAGTGTAAACATGGATAAACTACTCCATTTGATGTTACGAATTTTGAATCTATCTGATGACAAAAAATAGAGGTCTAAACTCAACGGCAATTCATCCGATGAATGTTGTTAACGATAATAGTGACTACGTTTAGAATGGCTTAGTGATTACAACATAGAAACTTAGCTAAAGCCAGGGTTGTTTAGATTATACAATGATATCTATCCCCGAGAAAGAGTGCTTTATAAAGTCCATTGACTAGTACAGAGTCTTAATATTATAATTATATTTACTTACCGATAAATATGGATTTGGTCTTTCCCATTCTCAACGAAATAATTTAATTTTGGATGCAATTTCCGGTTCAATTCACCCAGAAATACGATGCAGCAAGATATAGCTTGTCTTTTTATTATCCATTATGCAACTCGACGGAGGTTCCATAAAAGATAATACGCCCCATCCGAGCAAATATAAATTGTTGTGGCCCGGTCCCAATTTCCAATATCGCTAACCTTGGCTTTAGGTAAAGGTATGGCCTTCTATTTATTCTTAAGGAAAAATATAAGCGGTTCCATTGTGCATCGAGTCTATTTGAATGCACTATTTGAAAAAAGAATGAAATTACCGGGACAATTTTCTCTCTCTGTCTATCTGTCTCTCCCTCCCTCTCTCTCTCCCTCTCTCTCTCTCTCTCTCTCTCTCTCTCTCTCTCCCTTTGCCTCTTCAGAGAGAATTTATTCTTTTATTTCATTTATACATTAAGCATTTGTCCAAAATTATAAAATATATAGCCAACGCTTTCAAATAAACTACAACAATAAAAGTTATAAATATAATGCTCTGGTAATTTTTATTCCAGTTAGGGGATTTCACACCTACCCAAAAAGTGACATTTAAAAATATGCATTGCGATCCATTTTTTGGTGTGTTTTTTTGCGTATGTGGACATAATAATTCCCACTGATCTTCGCGATTTGCATCGCGATCTAATTCGCAGTAAGTCTTGCGATTTGTCAGAATAAACGCGATAGTTTGCCGGGCGCTGTGTATGTGAATGGTATTGAGAATCAAAACCAGATTGATTTAATTCCAGGATTCCAAGCGCGCATACATCGTCGAGATTCACGCATGCGCAGTTCGGACGTTCTTGCCGTCGAGCAATTCAGTTCAATTCGCACTTAATTGATCTTTGCATCGCAATCCCAATTGCACTAATTGTTATGTGTGAACGGGCCTAATGTGTGCACTTCTCGAACCACTAAAATCAGATCAGGGACTTGATAGACATTTGATCAGATAGTAGCTTTACAAACGCTCAATGTAGGTCATATAAACGGATCGCTTTTTATGATTTCCCGAGTGATGTTTAAAGAGAAGGTTGAGTCTCAAATCTAAAAAATTGACATTTTTTCATATTTCATTGTTCAAGAAAAAATAAATTATCGAGAGACCAAAATGTTTTGGAGGTATTTTCCCTCTAATTTTACATTTGGTCCAAGAATTTGTAAGGGCGTTCATTGCCTACCATAGAATAATTCCAGGTCTTGATTGAAGGCAAACTTATATTCATATAATTCTTTTTCTCCAACAATGAACTGTCAAATAAAGTCAATTTTATAGATTTGTGACCATAATTTGCTACTCAGTTGAAAAATCAATAGTGAGAGCAACCAGTGGCGTGGATGGCCTTCCAAAGTTCATGTCAATAACAAGATGAGCTAAGTCTTTGTGAAACACCCCTCCCCCACCCCGCCCGCCCCTCTTTCCCCATATTTGTATAAGGCGCCAAATCCACTTTAAAGTAATTTCTCAAGGCTTAAGATAAAAACAACATTATGTGCACAGAAGTACCGTATGGAGCAAAATAACGAGCGTTACAATATTATGCACACAGATAAAAAGTGGTAAAACAATCAAGCAATTAAAATGTTACTTACCGTAGCTAGCGATTTATTGCCCTGAATTGGCTTGTTTATCGGATTGAGGCACAAATTATCCTGTTATATACACCGTGCCAACTCAAACAAGCTTAGTAAGCGGAAGGATTCAGCTAGTGCTGCGGTTGAATGTAGTTCCGACCCGGATGTTTGACAGGCATACATCATAATACACGCTTTATGTTGCGTGGAAAGCAAAATCCAGCGGTTGTTTAAAGAGATCTTGAGGTGTAGCGATTAAACTGTGCTAAATTAATTTATACTTGACATGCCATGGAATGTAAATGAGAGCAGTTTTCAAGAAAAAAATCTCCATCATGCTTTTAATATAATTTGTTTAAGTTCAAAACTTGGACATCCATTTCTCTAAAATGAAGAAATAGAAGGAGGAGGAGTAAACACGAAAACTTTGTCAGTATTCATATACCAAACACTAAGTCTAAAATTGTAATGATTAGAACAAATACCTACATGTACGTAGGCCTACTGTGATCATAGAAACATTGTAAAAAGGATAACTTTGTATAGATGTACCAATATCAAAATAAGAAGAATCATGATTCTCGTCACTGTCTACGTACGGTAATCATGGAAACATGATAAACAACGTACCATGGTGACCAATATATCAAAAACAAATTCAATTACAATCAATAAAAAAAAAAGAAGAAAAACAGCTTTTGACATATCTGTCATTAAACGCTGTTAAACGATATTGGATACAAAGGTGACATGGTACAACGTTAGTGTTTTTATTTGAGGAACAAAGAGCAAACGGACAAATATTATTTGAAAGGATAAGATGGGAAAAAGGAGGAGAGGATAATTGCCATCGAAATCGGACTCTTCCAAGGCGGGGCGGAGGGATACAGGAAAATAGAGATAGAGCGGAGAGGAAAGAATCGACGAACAGAGAGAAAGAGAGAGAGAGAGAGAGAGAGAGAGGTGGTAATGGAGAGGGAGAGAAAATGTTGCTACTCTACTTTTGCGACTCTGTTCTTGCATCACCCTCTTCGTTATCTTCTTTTGATAGTCATTATAAGTTTGAATATTATTTGCTTTGAACATGTTGAATATTCCGTGATTCATGATTCCGTTGAATGTTTAGTGAATGAAAAGCAGTAATGCAATGACTGCAATCAATAATACATTAGCTTTTAATTGTACTGCCCCCGCTTCGACTACACATCCAGTATAATCAGACCGACCCGACGTAGCAGCAATGGTCAAAGCTACCATCGCGTTTCGCTCATTATTACTCGGTAGCAGGTCGATGTAGGCAAGTCCATCGTCATCGACGACCACGGATGTTCCTGAGCAGCCCCTGGTCGTAGGCTCACCTGTGATCAGATCACAGTATGTCCCGGATGGTAGTCCTGTCTGCAGAGTCTCTGATTGCCGAACCCTCTCATTGTTCAAGGCAAAGAAGGCTTTGTCGCCTCGAGAAAAGGCGATGAAATTATCGCCATTGTCCCACCAGTTTTCAACTGGCTCATCCCCAGCAACGTTACGGAAACAGACCATGTTGCGTATCGCACTCCAGCGATGCTCGCACACCCAACCACCATCGCATAATCCTTCTGCGTTGATCACGACGTTGTCTGTGTTACCTGAACTATCAGACGGCGGTCCCTGGTCGCTGTCTTCAAAGACATACCCGCTGAAGATACGCGCAGTTCCGTAATTCCACGCCAAGCCGAACGCGAGACCGATCTTGTATTCGCGTGGTTCTTTAAACGTCAGGATATCGCCTCCGCCTCCGTGGTTACGTTGGTTGTCGTGGTTCTCGACGAAGACGATCGCGTTTTCAGTCGGCATCATCCCCCACCTCGGATCGAAACCAAAGTTTTGAAACTGATCAGCTGGGACGGAGGCTCGTCCGAGTAAAGCCATTTGATCGCAGAATTTAAACTCTGTGACGTCACCGGTTTGAAAGTACTCGATAGGCCTAATGGCCTCGTTGCTGAATCGGTCGATGACCTCCTGATAGATGTACGGCCTGCCGCCAAATGTACAGTCATGGAGGCTGTATGAATGAAAGACAACAATACACAATCACCGTTAACATTAACACTATATAGTAGAGCTAACGTTATGATATAAAGAAAGTATTGAAAAGATTCAGCATGGTTTAAAGAAAAAAAACCAACACAACAAAAACAGATAAGTAAATCGACCAAGAACTTATAGTGAAGACAAAAACGAAATATCTAGGATTTCCTCCCGCCGAAAGCAACACACATTCTTCTTTTCCAAACCATGTAGACTACTCAGCGTGTAAAGATGGTAAAATTCTTGTGGATACTTGGGGTTCAGCAGGGTATTATGTACAACCCCTTAGACCTATGTCAGGCGATATGATGCCCTGTATGCAACGGACATATACCACATAACAGATTATTATGCTCCATAATGAATTTGGATACGTACCGACTTTCCACATCGTCCAATTCAGCAGGGTACATGTGTTTAGCTGCATCAATGCGGAACCCTGCCACGCCCATGGCTATCATAGTATTAAGATATTCAACAACCTAGGTAAAACAGACACGGGTCAGAATAAGAAAAACATGTACACAATCAGAGTAGTTACAAGGGGTTGATGGAGGAAAATATGGGGGGGGGGGTGAACTATTTTAAGCATGTATACTAGAAGAGAAACAGAATGGCTTATAACTGGGCCAAAATCTATTGAATTGTCGGGAAAGATGTGAAATAATATATTCTTATTTTTGCTTCGATTTCTGCGACCGTTTGGAAAATTACACTAGACATAAATGTCGGCCATAGCTACTTTTAAGTAACATTTCATTCATTGATATTTTATTTTGTTTTGCTTTACGTTTGTTTTGTTTCTGTTTTGTTAATTGGCCTACGGGGTGGAATTACTGTTGATACAATCATTGTACAAGCATTGCGTTGTAGTGGACCCCTTTGTTTCTAATATGTACTCCTTAATTTGGGGGAATGATTCTAATTGATTTGTAATTTTTTTTTTAATAAATACAAATAAAATTAAATAAAATTGAATTGAATTGATAATCTTATTGAAAATCGACCATAACTTCACAATATCCAATGGTGCTTACAGAGAATTTAATTTTGTAGCGTAACAATATTCAGGCAATGAGACGCAAATTCTATAATTTCGGCTCTTTCCAACCCATACCTTGTCTCGTCCATAGTAGTCGTTCAATTCCCCATAGTGTATGTCACTCAGACCAAGCAAATTACAGTAACGCATTTCGACTGTATTGTTGATATCATGAATACCGCCATCATCGGTCGGACACAGTCCAAGTTTGACGTTGAAATCATTCTCGGTGAAAGGAACGCCTGGGAAGTCATAGCTACCTGTGTGTAATAAACAACAGTAGGTATTATTATATGTATATTACCTCACCCTGTTTCATCAAAAAGGACTTTTAGATTTGCACGACGAGAACGTGGACTGCTAGGTGTGACATCCTTTCAAGGCATTGTGTTGTCCTTTTAAGGCACAGCCGGACACTGTCAGCGCCTTAAAAGGACGTCACATTACCTTAAAAGGATGTCACACCTAGCAGTCCACGTTCTCGTCGTGCAAATATAAAAGTCCCTATTATTATATATCAATGTTGCCCCCATGAACAGCTGTACAACATTTGCAACATAAATAAAATACGACGATATCGTCATCATATTACTGTCATCATCATCATCACCATCGTTATCGTCGCTATCATCATCATCATCATCATCATCATAGTCATGGCCATCATCATCATCACTATTACATGTAATATCATCGTCGTCGACTTCGTCATCATCATCAGCATCATTATCATCATCATCATCATCGTTATTAATATCATTGTGACCATCATTGTCATTATCATCGTCGTCGTCATTCTCGCACTCACCGCCGGCCATGTGGTTGATGACAGCGTCGACGTAGATGCGGACATCGACATCCAGACACCGTGCCACCATATCAGCGAACTCCTCCGCTGTTCCGCTCCTGCTGTTGAGCTGGTAGCTGAGTGGCTGGTAGCGCTCCCACCAGGGGTACGGGTAGGGAGGGTTGTAGGGGTTAGTGGAGAATATCAGGTGCTCGCTCGGTGGAGAAACCTGCACACCGGCGAACTTGTGGGGTCCAATGAATCTAGAGAGAGTGGGGGTAGAGCGAGAGATAGAGAAAGGGAGAGATAGAGAGAAAGAGAGAGAGAGGGAGATAACGGGAGAGGGAGAACGAGAGAGAGAGAGAGAGAGAGAGAGAGAGAAGAGAGAAGGAGAGAGAGGGAGAGAGAGAGAGAGAGAGATAAGAGAGAGAGAGAGAGAGAGAGAGAGAGAGAAAATAGAGGTAGAAAGAAAGAGAAATGGTTAGAGATAACTGGGTCAAAACAAAAGGATGGCAACTCCTACCAAATAAAGCATATTTGCATTATTTGTAGCGTTGCGCTGCAACAAATATTTATCCCTCCGGTTGTTCCTTGTTACATCATAGCGTGCAATAAAAATCCAAAAATTGCTTATTTTAAAGTAAAAGGTATTTTCCTTTCAATGATGAACAAAGAAGCTGTATCTTGCACTTTGGAAGATAATTTATGGGACTTGATTATTTTTTAAAGATTGAGTCACACTTTGTTTTTCTACAGCGTAATAACTCTACTATTTCATTAAGAAATAAAGTTGTGTAACAAGAGAAGGATTATTAGTAAACCTTTCACATTCGTCGGCGATATCAGTCCATTTCCATTCGAATAGATGTACGATCACGGTTCGACCATCAGCAAAGTTTGGTGCGGTAATCGAGCCATAAACGACGGAGATCACCAGAGACAGTACCACAATCCGAAACATTGTCCCTAATGAAAACAAGGTTTACATTAACACAAATATCATCACGAATCCAAAATGCTTTCAAACAAAACAGCCATTGCAATCAATTATAATAGCCCTTTGCGTAACATATTAAAATGTGTTCTTATAACATAGTGATTAGTTAATCACTATTCCTGCACTTTACAACACAGCGGTAGCAATATTATTGACATAAATAATCAAAGTAGCTGTGAGTCTGTGACATTTTTAATCAAAATCTGCCCTTCACAAGCCAGCACTCTACTCATGCGCATAAATAACATAAAATGAAAGTGTATAAGGTTTGTAACATAGTGAACGTGACAAATGCATATTACGTAATCTGAACATGATGTTTATTGGTTCCTGGGCATATTTTCCGTTATATAAATTGTCATTTAGTGAATATCTTGAAATTCTTTGCGACCGTGTATTTTGCAGAAAGTTAATGTAAACATGGATTGACTACTCCATTTTATGGTACGAATATTGAATCTATCTGATAATATAATATATAGGTCTAAACGCAACGGAAATGCCTCCGATGAATAATAGGAACGACGTTTAGAATGCCTTAGTGATTACAACATAGAAGCTTAGCTAAAGCCGGGGTTGTTTAGATTATACAATGATATCTATCCCCGAGAAAGAGTGCTTTATAAAGTCCATTGACTAGTACAGAGTCTTTATATTATAATTATATTTACTTACCGATAAATATGGCTTTGGTCTTTCCCATTCTCAACAAAATAATTTAATTTTGGATGCAATTTCCGGTTCAATTCACCCAGAAATACGATGCAGCAAGCTATAGCTTGTCTTTTTATTATCCATTATGCAACTCGACGGAGGTTCCATAAAAGATAATACGCCCCATCCAAGCAAATATAAATTGTTGTGGCCCGGTCCCAATTTCCAATATCGCTAACCTTGGCTTTAGGTAAAGGTATGGCCTTCTATTTATTCTTAAGGAAAAATATAAGCGGTTCCATTGTGCACCGAGTCTATATAAATGCACTATTTGAAAAAGAATGAAATTACCAGGACAATTTTCTCTCTCTGTCCATCTGTCTCTATGTCTCTCTCTCTCTCTCCTCCTCTCTCTCTCTCTCTCTCTCTCTTCTCTCTCTCTCTCTCTCCCTTTGCCTCTTCAGAGAGGATTTATTTTTTTTATTTCATTTATACATCAAGCATATGTCCAAAATTATAAAATATATAGCCAACGCTTTCAAATAAACTACAACAATGAAAGTTATAAATATAATGCTCTGGTAATTTTTATTCCAGTTAGGGGATTTCACACCTACCCAAAAAGTGACATTTAAAAATATGCATCGCGATCCATTTTTTGGTGTTTTTTTTTTGCGTGTGTGGACATAATAATTCCACTGATCTTCGTGATTTGCATCGCGATCCAATTCGCAGTAAGTCTTGCGATTTGTCAGAATAAACGCGAAATTTTGCCGGGCGCTGTGTATGTGAATGGCATTGAGAATCAAAACCAGATTGATTTAACCCATAGAGAACCCCAGGATTCCAAGCGCGCATACATCGTCGAGATTCACGCATGCGCAGTTCGGACGTTCTTGCCGTCGAGCGAGAATTCTCTGTGTGTCGCCAACAAAAATCGATCTTTGTATCGCGATCCAAATCGCACTAATTGTTATGTGTGAACGAGCCTAATGTGTGCACTTCTCGAACCACTAAATCAGATCAGGGAGGTGAAAGAAAAGGAGGCGAAACTCTTGTAATTTATTCAAACGCATTCTTGAGTTCTAAAGCGTAACAATGGGATGTGTAACATTCCACTTGGCTTTGAAGTTCCATGCTCCGAACCGCGCTTCCACTGCGGGGACTTTCGGAAGCCAGGCACCAGTTTTACATTTATTACAAAATATTAAATTACCGGCAAAATTTCAGTGTAAATTAAAAACTTTATATGGGGATTTTATTGCGAATAGTGCATCAAACAAATTTTCAAATTTAGAACTCCGTCCTTCCTTTAATTTGTGTGCCAGAGTTGGTAAAAGAAAAATTACATCCTGTCAAAAACTCAATATTTTAGGATGATGCGCTAATTTGTGCATGCTTTAATGTCCCGTTATTTGATCCATGATTTACAATCTTCAATAACATTAAGTTTGCTAATGCGTGTTTTCGCGTGTTTTTTTGTATTTTTCAAATTTAAAAAAGGATGAAAGTACACAAGTTTGTGTTCGCTTATTCTACTCTTTACACATTCAACAATGGATGAGAAATCATTGGAAGGGACAGCGAACAGTTGCAGTGATACCATTTTCTGATGTAGGAATTCTAAATCCTGAAATTTCATGCGCTCTTTTATCTCACCACCTGGTCAACAGTTGCAGATTAGCGCATAACTTTTCGGCGGCTTGGAGCATGGGGTCAAAGGAGAGCGGCTTGATTCCAGTCCTTCTCTATCACGTCCCTGATCAGATAGTAGCTTTACAAACGCTCAATGTACATGTAGGTCATATAAACGAACCGCTTTTATGATATCCCGAGTGATGTTTAATTCAAGAGTGAATTTGAATAGTGCACTGCAGTCAACAAACCATTTGTGCAAATCATGGGATTTCAGGTTTGGCTAATTTGATGTGTATTTTGACGGGGAAATGAAATAACATTGAACCCCACTCAACATGCGACGGATCAGTTAGGGATCTTTATGGGGAGGGATGTACATATTATGCTTCCATAATGACTGGTCCACATACATTTTATATTCTGATCTGTCAAATAATTAAAGCTTTGCTAGCATCATTTTGCAGCATCAATAGTACTTGAACAGAAATGTCATAACAAATTACTTTACTAACGAAAATGCTTGGTTTTGTTTGGTTTTAATTACGATGATGAAACATGAAATACAAGCACATATAATACATAATAAAACATGAAGAAACAAAACACTTTAATATTGTACATGGACTATTCTAGAAAAATAATTAAAATGAGGATCGAGGATTACTCGCTTGGGATCAACCGAACAACATGATCTGTTCTTACTCGAGGTCTAATTTAGATATCTATCAACTGACAATGAGCAAACATCAGTCTGATAATTGTTTTAATTGTAAAGTGTGTGTGTTGGGGGGGGGGGGTTACATATCTTACTTTGGAAATGAAAGACAAATTTACAAGGTCTCTGATGAGAGGGTTGGCGCAGAAAAGTTCTCAATTGTCTTCTTATCTGGTCCTTTCCCTACTTTTATTAATTTGATCGCTTTCTCTCTTTCTCCCCTCCCGTGATTCCATTGGAGGGAGGATGGGCACATCCCCCTAGGTTCTGCAGCTACGCCTGTGCACTATAAAACAAGAACGAGACGAATTCAAACTAGAGGATATAAAACACGTTCAACTGAAAGAGAGTTTGATGTATCATCCTCTTGTTTTAGTTTTACTGATGGGTCGTACCGTTAATTATCAAATCAATTTGAAAATGGTGGTAAATGCACTTTAAAAAGTAATGGCCGACGACCACAAAGTGAATCAGATAGACAACATGCTTTTTGACGCCTATCATGACGAAAACAGTCCATTTAAACTTCACCCCACTTTGGACCCGAAAGTGGGGTGCAGTTTGGGAAGAAGCTCACCACAGAGCTAGAGAGAGAAAAGTCCCTAATCTGCAGTGTAAACAAACTTTGCCAGGACATCCCAGCCCAACCTTGATAAGTACTGCTTGGAACTCTCTCTATGAAACTCTAGTCTTATTCACAGTCTGATATAGGTTCGGATTATGTCCATTCTTATACCTGGGAGTTGTCAGTTTCATCTCCCTTGCTTTTCCTTTATGTTCCTTTCATCATAATTGTCTAGTTTGGAATGCATGGACATAAGTAAATGTGATATAAATAATAATGCATTATACAAATAGTATAGGATATAATATACGCTAGACTGCTCTGGGTTGCCTGTTCATGATTTATAGCGCATAAATATTAGGCTTGATATATATCTGAACCTCGAAATAATATCAGTTCCAGTGTTCAACTATTTTGAATCTAATATTTGTTTGATAAATATTCCGCAGTAAATTTGACAATTATCAACATCTATACTATAGTCATATTTTTTACAAATAATAACTCATGACCCTCACACTACAAGGATAGCATTCATCCAGATTCTCCAGCTTGCTAATTCGGATTCTCCAAGACCATCCCAATTAAAGCTTGGTTTATATACACAAAGATATCTGGGAAAAAAGTGGTCTGTAATACCAGACAAGCAAGTGGGGTATTTGGGCTCTGTGCTCACCGAAATTGAAATTCTCCATTTGAAACTCTGGTAATGTCAACAAATACAGCCTTTGTTAAAGGCGTTATTCCACCTCCAAATTCTTTTATCTGCCGTTTCCATCTTTCCCTACATTATTCTTTAGTGGCTCCTTCTTGTATCTTCCTAATTGTTTTCTACTTCATTCATCTTCCGTTTTTTTCTTCATTTAGCTTTATTATGTTCTGTATTTTCTTCTTTTCTTTTCTTCCATTTCTGTATTTCCTTATGCTGTTCTTTATTTTCTCTGTCTTTCCTTATGTTTTTAGTTATTATCAACTTTGTTCTATCTTCCGGCTAATGTTATTCCTTATTTTTCTCCTCCTTTCAACACATATTTTTTGACTTTCCTAATATATATTTTGTTTAAACCTTCTTTTATCTTCCTTTTCCATCTTTCCTTTGGTTATTTTTTTTTTACATACCTTCTATCTTCCATTTCCATTTTTCTTTTAAAATAATTACTTATTATCACCCATCTTTCCGTATGTTATCCTTTATTTATTTCTTCCTTTATATTATTTTTCTGCATTATCATTTTTTTTGTTTTTCTATCATTTCTATCTTTCCATAAGTTATTCTTTGTTTTAAACCTTCTATTTTCTTCTGTTTCCATCTTTCCTTATTTTATTTTTTGTTTTAAACCTCCTTTCATCATTTTGTAATAACTTTGTTTATGTTATTCTTTATTTTTTGTATCTATCTTTCTCCCATTTTCACAATTAATAACTCATGAACATCACACTAGTACAAGGATAACATTCATCCAGATTCTCCAGCTTGCTAATTCGGATTCTCCAAGACCACCCCAATTAAAGCTTGGTTTATATACACAAAGATATCTGGGAAAAAAGTGGTCTGTAATACCAGACAAGCAAGTGGGGTATTTGGGCTCTGTGCTCACCGAAATTGAAATTCTCCATTTGAAACTCTGGTAATGTCAACAAATACAGCCTTTGTTAAAGGCGTTATTCCACCTCCAAATTCTTTTATCTGCCGTTTCCATCTTTCCCTACATTATTCTTTAGTGGCTCCTTCTTGTATCTTCTTAATTGTTTTCTACTTCATTCATCTTCCGTTTTTTTCCATTTAGCTTTATTATGTTCTGTATTTTCTTCTTTTCTTTTCTTCCATTTCTGTATTTCCTTATGCTGTTCTTTATTTTCTCTGTCTTTCCTTATGTTTTTAGTTATTATCAACTTTGTTCTATCTTCCGGCTAATGTTATTCCTTATTTTTCTCCTCCTTTCAACACATATTTTTTGACTTTCCTAATATATATTTTTGTTTAAACCTTCTTTTATCTTCCTTTTCCATCTTTCCTTTGGTTATTTTTTTTTTACATACCTTCTATCTTCCATTTCCATTTTTCTTTAAAAATAATTACTTATTATCACCCATCTTTCCGTATGTTATCCTTTATTTATTTCTTCCTTTATATTATTTTTCCGCATTATCATTTTTTTTGTTTTTCTATCATTTCTATCTTTCCATAAGTTATTCTTTGTTTTAAACCTTCTATTTTCTTCCGTTTCCATCTTTCCTTATTTTATTTTTTGTTTTAAACCTCCTTTCATCATTTTGTTATAACTTTGTTTATGTTATTCTTTATTTTTTGTATCTATCTTTCTCCCATTTTCACAATTAATAACTCATGAACATCACACTAGTACAAGGATAACATTCATCCGGATTCTGAGATTGCTCATTCTCACGAAGCTTGGTGTACGCGAAGATATCGGGAAAGAAAGCGGTCTGTAATACCAGACACGCAAGTGGGGTATTTCGCTCCCCGTTCACCGAAAAGTGAGATTCTCCATTTGAAAGTCGGGTAAGGTCGACAAATTTAGCCTCTGTTAAAGGCGTTACTCCGCCACCAAATTTATTCGCATAGACGAAATAAACTCGAACGCGTTTAGAAAAATGTAGTAGGCCTAGGCCTATAAGGAAAGGCCGGGAAAACATAAATTTTGTTGGTTTGACCGTTAAATATTTTTGAGGTATTAAAGCAAGAATAGAATGTTGTAAATATTGTTTACGTTACATTTATTCCGTGCGTAATCTGAAGGTCTACTCAACTTTCTTATTGCCTATTTCTTGCCCCCCCCCCCAAACGGCAGATCAAGGATTTGAAAATAGGGAGTGGCCGGGGCTCAGACGTCAAATTTGAATAGGGGGGGGGGGGTGGTTGTTTAGGCAGACGGCACATTTCTTGGAATTCGTTATAAAGACGGTATTTAAAAAAATGATGATTCTGGCAAGATAAGAATTGAATTTCATCAAACTTATATTCGATTTAATATGATCTGTATACGTATAGGATACAATATTTATTTCCCCACAACACATCAAGCCGTGATGATTGAATGTCCATTGCATGTAACACGAAAGAAACAGAAACTCTCAAATCTACAATCCTTTAGAAAGATAATAATTAGCTGAGTGATTAGGGCATTACAAGACATCGAAGGACTTAATCTATTTTACAATAGTTGATGCAACCATAATGGAACATTATGCTTCTTGATACTGAGGATATATTTCAGCACAAGAGTATTTGGTTTCAAAATTTTATAGCAGTTCGTTAAAGAAACATTTCGATGCTCACTTGCATAATAAATCTCTATGACAAGCTCATTTTTATCACGACAGTTAAACCTTTTAACTTTTTATACTAAAGATTGTTGAAGAATTGCCTAATAACTGCTCGGATGATTTTTTACCTTTCTCCGAAACCTCTTGGTTTTTTGCTCATGATTATAGCGCATTATTCTTGTTGTTACTGTATGTACATATCTGCACAACGAACGTCTTTATGATTATGATGTCCTCGTTTCGTTGTATGTTATAAATTCAATATCATGACGAGAAGTGCGTCAAAAATATCTTAACATCGAAATGATTTCTGTTCATGTTTAACTATTTTAATTGAAGCCTTTTTACTTGATCTAATACTTTTATGATGATGACATAGTCCGCAATAAACTTGACAAACATTATCATCCATACTATATGTCGTAGTTTATAACAATAATTACTCATGAACCTCACACTACAAGGACAACATTCATCCAGATTCTGAGATTGCTCATTCTCACGAAGCTTGGTGTACGCGAAGATATCGGGAAAGAAAGCGGTCTGTAATACCAGACACGCAAGTGGGGTATTTCGCTCCCCGTTCACCGAAAAGTGAGATTCTCCATTTGAAAGTCGGGTAAGGTCGACAAATATAGCCTCTGTTAAAGGCGTATACTCCACCACCAAATTTGGAACAGCTTGCCACATGCAGTATCGTGAATGCGCCGGGCACTCTGAGCGGCCGTTTTTCAGTGTATTTACTTTTAGTGTTCTTAAAAATTTGCCGTGTCGTTTGATCCTAATTTTATCTTTTTCATCTTTCTAATTTTCATCTTTCCTTATATGTATTCCTCTATTTTCCTCTCGTTTTATTCTCTCTATCTTTTCTCATGTATTTCTTTTTTCTAACCTTCTTTATCTTCTGTTTCCATCTTTCCTTATGTATTTTTTTTAAAAATTTTTATCTTCCTTTTCTATCTTTCCTTATGCTATTCTTTATTTTCTCTTCCTTCTTTCCCTCCATTTCCATCTTTCCTTATTATCACCCGTCTTTTCCTATTTTATCCTCCATTTATATTTCCTTCTGCATTTTTCCATTGCGAAGCACATCAATGTCCTCTTCTATACGTAAAAGACACTTAAATAGCTAGTACTTGCTAAAAAAACAATAACAAGTGAGACTTTAGACACACTGAATCCAGGCCTATTATCAATATAGGTGTAGGGTCTGCGATGAGAAGACTATGAATCTGGATCGGATATCAGATACCAGCTGGTAATCCCTTTATCAGTAACTAGGCTATGATTGACCGCTGTCTCTCTCCCCATGGACCCTACTGGTAATCCCTTTATCAGTGATCAGTGCTCCTATCAGATTATGGTAGCACCAGGAAAAGTGGTGAACTGGTGAGCAGAGCTCAAATGAGATGTTTTCCTAATGACAGTTCATTTCCCTTTTAACTGATCGTGCAAACACTCCATAATGCATCGGTGGGTTATTAATTGATTCAATTGCGTGAGAATTAAATCGAGGATATGGCTTTAAATCGCCTGCATGGTTTCCAGAATAACCTTGAATGTCACACTTTGTTTCATAGAATACTTGGCAATTATTTACCCCAGTGTCGGTGGATACAGAGAGGAAGGGGCAGGTAGCTGATTCTCGATTCTTTTCCGACAAAAAGAAAAGTGCCACTGTTACGACAAAGTGCCCCATATAGAATGATAAACGATGTTATAACGATGAATAACTTTCCCTTCTATTCATGCCCCGCCCAGGTAAAGTTTCTTAATCTGTTTTGGCTTTAGTAAATATATATTACGGACTTTTAGATTCTGCACGATGAGAACGCGGACTACCCTTTTAAGGCAATGTGACGTCACTGCCAGTGCCTTAAAAGGACGTCACATTGCCTTAAAGGGGGCATCCACGTTCTCGTCGTGCAGAATCTAAAAGTCCTCTTGATAGGCCTATGTATATTTTAATGCTTTATCGAGCTTTGATAGACCGGTTTGCTTACATATTCAAATTTCATGCATACTTTTTCAACAAAGCTCTTGACAACCATGAAGCTTGTACGAGGCTTGTCCTGCATATCAACACGATATATGTGCACAGAGTGGATTCCAAGTAATGTAGTTCATTCATTAATATCAGGTGAATGGATAAACTCGTCACTAGGTCCCCATGAGAGAAACGTCCATCAATTTGAATATGTTAGTAAACCGGTCTTTTAGAATAGGCCATTTTCGTAATGTTATAAAATGTATACTTAAGTGCCTCGATATGAATTCTTTCATTCACCTGTTTCGAGTAATTGTATTTTCAATAATCAGAACGCGAATTGCATGTGTTACGTGTTGTTAGGACGGACAAACCATAATGTTTGTCCTATCTAGCAACAACTAATTTATACAATTTGAATTTTAACTGTTTACATTTATTCGTAACAGGTGGATTAAATAATTCGTCTCGAGGCGCTTCACAAAGGCATATGCATATAACATTGGTTGCATTACGAAAATGGCCTATTGCACCAGCTTAATATCAATAAAACGATGCAAAAGTTTGTGTCTTTCCTATCTAAATTTACAACTAAACGTTCGTATACACCAGTTTACGGTTGTGCGCGCCATTTTAAACAAAGCCAATGACCTAGAGGTCATGTATTTGTGCGTAAATTAAGATTGCGCTCATGCAAATTATGATGATATCACTGCCTACGCGCTGCATTGTGCGCGCACATCATCATTTGCATGGGCGCAATCTTAATACACCAGTTTACGGTTGTGTGCGCCATTTTAAACAAAGCCAATGACCTAGAGGTCATGTATTTATGCGTAAATTAAGATTGCGCCCATGCAAATGATGATGATATCACTGCCTACCTGCTGCATTGTGCGCGCACATCACCATTTGCATGGGCGCAATCTTAATACACCAGTTTACGGTTGTGTGCGCCATTTTAAACAAAGCCAATGACCTAGAGGTCATGTATTTATGCGTAAATTAAGATTGTGCCCATGCAAATTATGATGATATCACTGCCTACGCGCTGCGTTGTGCGCGCAAATCATCATTTGCATGGGCGCAATCTTAATGTACGCATCAATACCACTGGTCAAAGGTCATTGGCCCTGAATTCAGGGCCAATGACCCGAAGTCAACTGTCTGCGCATGCGCACTGATACAACTGTAAACTGGTGTATTTACGCATAAATACCACTGACCTCAGGTCATTGGGTTTGTTTCAGGGCCGATGACCCGAGGTCAACTGTCTGCGCATGCGCACTGATACAACCGTAAACTGGTGTATTGCTGTGAGACTTTATACACATCTGCCATTTACATCTCGCTACAATAGATATATACACAGACGGATCACTTGCTCTTGAAATCAATCAATCGTGTACAGTGATGTATCTAATAAGTGAGAGGATTTACATTTCAACACACTGTATAGGGTAACATGACTGTTTATGTTAATTTCAGTTCAATCTTAAAGCCCCACTGTCCTACTTGTAGCTACTTGCTCCCTCTATATAGAAAACTTCCCCAATCGGTGCCCGTTGGTCCCCCATGATCCTCTTTTTCTTATGTTATGTTAGCCACCTGTCAGTGACCTCGCTGTGTGGTCTCATCCCTCCTGGCCCAGTAGTATTGACGGTCTTTAAGTCCTCCTTTGATTTAAATATTAAACGATTAAAACACTCCAATTAAATCATTAATATATATGAATTAAATACACGTTTATTATTCTGTCAAACATCCCTAAGAGACGTTTTTGTTCTGATGTGATTTTGAGTCAGAGAAACATGCACATTATTCCTCGCTACGCTTACAAAAGATATTCCTCATGTCCTTTCTAAAGCGAGAGTTTACGATGAGGTAAACGAACACATTAATGACGTGGTTGATGAGTCGAATATGATACAAGAGCACCACGGTACAGTCTCCCGCGTACGAACTTCGAAACGATTTCACCAAAGCTAAAGGCAGGTTTTCGAAGATGATCGCCGGCACAGATGTAAAGAAAAAGATAGCGGTCGTGATTAAGAGCATCCGGGTCATTGCGTCTTTACGTGGGCGATGGTTTGTCCCTGTTCGGGAAAGTGCGAGTTTGGAGAACCTTCGCTTTAACGAGGTGGCCTTGTCTACATGTCTCTCTGGTTCGGACATTTCTCCTTGTCCCTGTTTGTCCTTGAAAAGAAGGACCCTGGTATCTTTGGACTTAAATGTACGGTGAGAGTTTTTACGGGGTCCTTCATTTGCAATACCAAGGTTAGATGGGGATGTCTTCTGGTTACCAGGAATTGAGCTAGACGCTGTCACTGTTTCATCTAGGAACGGACCAAAGGGACTGGTGCTATCAGGTTCGGATAGAACTTTCTCTTGTTTGTCCATATTCAATACATCACAGCGGGTTTCACCACTGGGACTGTCTTTGCAGCTGTTAGCAGAATCCTGTTGACCAAAGTTCTTATGGCTTTCAAGTTCACTCATCTGACATATTGGTCCAATTGGCGGTGATGACGTCGTTTCGAAGTAAACTCCGGGGGGCAACGCTTTGGTAATGACTTCCGTTGATGGTTCCTCCACCAAGGTACTGACCGCACGTTCATGCCCACTCAACATATCAGCAGCCGAGCAACTAGGGTAGTTGCTATCCTCAGGAGCAATTCTGTTTCGTGAGAGGACACTTCGTTTAGAATGAGACCACAAAGATCTTGACTTATCATCTCCTTTGGCTTCATCCTGTCCTCGACTGTCACTTCCCACTCTCCTGTGATGCTTGATTTTCAAGTAGATCTTTGAGTACATCAACGTGCATGTCAGGGTTGCAATACCAAGCAAGATGTTATAATGAATTCCGTTTGCCAATCCAAGCCACACTGGTCCCACCAAAGCACATGCGGTTGAATCGGAGACGTCAATGGCCTTTGCAAAGAGCGGATAAGATATTTGGGACACTGCAGTGTAAATGACGCAAACTAAGATCGCCACTATGTAGATATTTAGTGAAGGTCGTTTGCTGAGTGGTTGGCATACGATGAGAAAGCGATCGCATGAGAGTAACGTGGTGAACGCTACTGAAGTCACGGCCCCACATCTACGGATAAACATGACTAACTTACAACCATCGTCAGATCGGAAACCGTCTTCGATCGTCCAAGTGACAACGGCGATTAAACATGCTGACGCTACGAGATCAGCGACCCCAAGCGCTACGATCAGGTAATCAGTCGATATTTTGCGAATCTTTTTAACTCCGTAGATATATATGATGATAACGTTTCCCGATATCCCGGTCAATACATAGGTCACAAGAAGAATCATCTCAACGATAGCCAAGGCATCCATAGTGGTCGCTTTATGATTGAAATTCCTTAAGATAAAGCTGCAATGAGGGAAGCATGGGGTTGATTTTAGGCGCTGTGTTCTTCTTGCACTTATCCAAACCAAGCAATTAATCTGTAAATTCGGGAAGGGGGATTTTCCAGAGGGGTGGGGCTGATCTCAGCCTTTTCTAGGTGGAGAAATAACAAGTAAAGACGGATGTGCGACTAGAATCATGTACAACTGAGCCGATAGTCGCACTATACAGTGATGTTTTTGACCTGTTGAATCCTGAATTTCTCTCATTCTCATAAACTTAATACATAAACCACCAGGTTCCAGGATCCAATGGGTTAAGTGGTGTTGGCCTACATCATCATAAAGTCTGAATGAATGATTGATCTTCTAGCGTTGCAGTCGTTTCAGTTATCTCTCCAACCTTCAGGCACATGGACGATTGCCTCCCAAATAAAGTACCATGACTGCATCATAAACACAGTGCATGCTTCTGATAGTGCTCTCTTCAAGCTACCAAAAGAGTCCCCTGAAAGTAGGTTGGAGTCACTTATTATCACTTCGTAAATAACAAATTGAATTTCCTCTCAAGGAAAGTGCCAATGCAAGCTTCGTAAAAACCTTTATACATTTTGTTGAATACCAGGGTTTGCCATATCAAAATTCTCTAACATGCAAGATTGTTTTCTTCATGCCTTTAATGTCCGAATCCAATTTATAAGATTGAAAATGAAAAGAAAGTTTGATTGCCATCGCTTTATATAGCGTTAAATGCCATTGCGGTTGCCGAAAGTACATTTTGAAATGATTTGTTTCGGCTGAAGTGAACTGACAACGTTAGTTGATGTTTGACAATTCATTATATCGTACTTGCTCAGTGAATCGCATGGTGCTGAAAGAAAGGTAGAATGGCATTTGCATTATTTGATTTTTGATTTATTAGCTCTATGTCAGCATTTCTACAGTACGATCGATGAAATGTCAAATAACGTAACAAAATAATTGCTTACTTAAGATTTATTTTCCAGTTCATTTATTTAGTGATAGATACTTAAATATCGTATTTCTTTTCTGGACTTGCTGGAGGACGGCTTTTTATGAATTTTTTTTCATTTCTAGACTTAGTTTTTTTTTAAATCACCCTTTTAAACAACATTGCTGTTTCGGTGGCAGCACCAATAACGTCTTTGGCTTTCCTAGCTGTCTCCACATTCACTGTTCTTTTGTTGTTGTATTCTATTGTAAATGTTTCTCTTTAACTTGCACGCTATGTTTTGTATTTTATATGTTTGTTATGATGTATTTATGATGAATGCAATAAAGATCAATGACAATTACAATTACTTGACACCTCATAACAAAGACGTCTGATGCAACGTCTTTTTGGAGTCAATTCAGCAGCATTTATTCAAGTGTCAGGAGGACGTTAAACCTGTTATATTAAATAAGTGTGAGCGCCCTCAAGGGACGAAAAGGAGAAAGGGAAACGACATAACGAACAAGAAGAAAAGAACACTTTCAGATGTAACTGAAAATAAAAATGCATTTGGGATTCATTTAGTAAACCAATACTAGGGACAGATAAATGAACACCGTTTCCCAAATTCTTGAAAAGGCATATAATCTTTTTTCCATTTAACTTCGAGCTTTTTCGATAATAAGTGTGAAAGAAATATATAAATTAAAAACGTTGATCTCCCCAAAGGGATTTCAGCATTTTTCGTTACATTTGTAATCGCATAAATGCCTTTTGTCATTCTCAAACCAATGGAAGAAGAATTTGTTGTTATACTGACAAACGAATCGACAAATTCAATACCGTATGCGGCATAAGGCCTGCCACAAAATCGACACAAACAACATCGATAGATGATGGAATTTAGTTGGTTTTCTTTCTTTTCTTTTAAAGCCCGTCTTCAGTGTTGCGAGCCCCAAATTTGCGGGAAAGTTGTTGGCAAAATTTCCCTTAAATTGTATCATAATATGAAAGAGGATGTCACACTCCCCCCCCCCCCCCCCAAAAAAAAAAAGTGTGAAGACAAAATAAAATATTGATTAAAGAATACATAATTTGGGCTTTCTGTTGACCGCAGAAAACCTAAATTTTGTATCTTTCATCAATATTCCACTTCAAACACATTTCTTTTGAAAATCCATACAGAAATGTTTTTAGATTTATTTAATTATTTATTTATTTAAAAATATTTATTCTGGATGACAATATCAGTCAAAGCTGTTTTTCATATTGGTCCTTTATATACATACAATCAGGGTAACATACAAAGTAACAATGAAATACAAAATATATCAATGAAGTATACAAAACATTATTATATTAGGCCTACATGGATATCAAATAATATAACATTTTATAAATGACATCCTCTTTCACATTATGATACAAATTTAAATGAAACTTTGCCATCAAATTGTTGGGGCTCCAAACACTTAAGAGGGGCTTTAAGGGTGGGGTTAATACACACACATCTAGCGCCACATTCAAATCAGACAATGACATTTTGAGTGAATTGTTTTGGGACAGAAGGACAATAAACAATTCATTTCTGCCATGCTTGCTGCTATAGTACGTTTATCGGACCATAACAAATTGAATAGGATTGTGCTTTTCTTGTGAGGCGAAATGTAATGCGTACTGACGGCAAGCTTTCCGCAGCCTTTTAACCATATGCCTAGTAGTCAGTGGCGGGTCCAGGGGAGGGGCCGGGGGGCCCGGCCCCCTCTCCTGAAAAAAACAGGTAAAAACCCGTTAATGTTACCTTTATTTGAAGGCGGGCCCCCTACTCTGGTGCTCAAGGGAGGAGGGGGGGGGTACGATTTTTAAATTTTCTGCAGCTTTTAACCACATGCCTAGTAGTGGCGTAACATGGCTACAATCAATGGAAAAGAGAGGGGCGGTTTCAGCTTGGTCTTTGGACGACTGATACTGATAGATTTAGGGAGAGGGGAGGGAAACAATTGACGCGTTCTCCCCATCAAATCCAAATTGAGTAAATCTTGAATTATACACACACACAAGAATGTCCTTTAATTGTAACTGTTGCAGCCCTTTAAATATTTACAACCAGGATTAAAATAATACTTACAATGTAATAACCTTCATTCCTTTCTGGCTCCCCATATCTTATTCCGAGTGACAGACTTACATGTATGATGTATTACTATCCCTGATTGGGCGGCATATTCCGGATGTGTCTATATTGGACATACTATCTACGATATATTACATCTACTACTACTACTACTACAACTACTACTACTACTACTAAAACAACTACTACTACTACTACTTCTACTACGACTACTACTACTACTACTACTATTACTACTACTACTACTACTCCTTCTACTACAATAACAACTACTACTACTACTACTACTACTATTTATATTCTTCTACTACTACTACTAATACTACTACTACTACTACTACTTCTTCTTCTTCTTCAACTACTACTACTACTACCACCACTACTGCTACTACTATTACTATTACTACTACAACCACCACCACCACCATTACTGCGACTACTACTAATGCATTCTAGTATAACCCACATTACATCGATATATGTATTCAGGTTTTCATTCTAAGACCATCAAGCTCAATATGTAGAGTCTTTTAAATAGCTGTCAATAAAAAATCTGCGAGTATTTTCTGCTCATTGTCCATTTCTTAACCTTTCCTTTCAAATACGGCAAATGTGAGCCCAATTTGCGATGTGAATACGCATCCACAAATTGTATGTATCCCGATTTTTTTTTCATACCACATATCATTTTCTTCGTTGGTTTCTTTCTATATTACGGGTTTTATTCTTTAGCCATCACACGCGTCAATGAATGACCACTTACCTATTTTGGGGTAACTCTTTATTCAGATGAAGAACGTCGTTCTTTTCATGATGTCTTTCATATCCATTATTGACTAACCTAAATAGGAAAAATAAAAATATGTTTGATAGGTACATTAGCGATTTTGTACTCTCTTTTCTCTCTCTCTATCTCTATCTCTTGCTCTCTCCCTCTCACTCTCTCTCCCTAGCCCATCATTTTGTACAACCATTTAACTTTCCCTCTAGGCTTCTAAATGAAAAAGTGCAGGTAGGCAGGAAATGCAATAAAGCATGGAAAACTGTCATGGATTTGAGATGACATACAGTGTTTAGTTCATTTAACATTTATTTGCAAGTTCTTAGTTTTATATTATTTATTTCATGTGGAAATAAGTAAACACCCTTATGGTTAGATGCTGCGTTTAAGTATCGGCTTGCACATGGTGATCATGTGAGAGGGGGAGGATTGGGGAGTCCTGATGAAAAGGACTGTTGGTAATCTGTCTTTCTTGAGTGTGTGTAGTCCTGAAAAGGAATGTTGGTAGTCCTGAGAAGGACTGTTGGTAATCTTTCTTGAGCTTATAGTTCTAAAGAGAACTATAGCGCCGGTTGGAGAGGATGGGTGGTAGGAGGGGCTCAATTACATTTCGAACAGGTTGACTATCCGCCGTCAGGTATTATTGTGTTCACAACCTACCTAAAATCGAGACTCCCCAAAATAAGTTGATGTCTATCGGTAATTTAAAGGTTTATATTATGAACAGTGGAAACCTTGCAAAAACAATCTTGGTACAGAAAGAATTGGTATCACCACTCTTCATTTTGTTATGACGCGTTTATTACTTTTCTCTCAAGTGATCAGATAAACTAATATTTCGATGATTATCTGTCAACGGGGTTTAACTAAAGGGATGTTGGGGCACAGTTTGGAGCTACTAATTTTGTTGTAGTTCCAAATTTGATATAATTTGGAATATGAAATCGCTCGTTGAGAAGCAGAAGCAAAAAGAAAACCTAAATCTCAGTTTCGCGTTAATAGTCACGTATGATACCCTTATCTGACTGTCAGCAGTCGACATGTTTGTTTGTTTATTTTATTTATTCACCATGTAAAATAATTGTTTACATGTAATAAAATCCAGTGGGTTACATCGA